CTCTTGGGGAGTGGAACAAAATATTAGAACATTTACTTACGTTTATTGTCATATTTTAAAAAGAAATTAAGCTTTATTACTGTCATTCTGTGGATTGAGCATGGATGCCACAAAAAGTCACATGTCACACATGTGCTGTCCCAAGAGAAGGACAGGAGTTCCACGATGGTGGTGCTGGCTCACAGTGTTAATTACTATGTATGCCATGACACCCTTACTCATTCAGTTGCTTCCAGTCAACTGCTATGTATTCAGTTTACAGGGTACAAAATGCCATCGGTATAAATTTTTTTTTGTTTTTTTGTGAGAAGATCAGCCCTGAGCTAACATCCATGCCAATCCTCCTCTTTTTGCTGAGGAAGACTGGCCCTAGGCTAACATCCGTGCCCATCTTCCTCCACTTTTTTTTATATGGGACGCCACCACAGCATGGCCTGACAAGCGGTGCATCGGTGCGCGCCCGGGATCCAAACCCAGGCCACCAGCAGTGGAGTGTGCACACCCAACCGCTACGCCACGGGGCCAGCCCCAATCAGTATAAATTTTATAAGACGTTTAATGAATAGAATCATTATTATACATACTTCATAATAAACTGGAGAATGACTATGAAAATCTTTTAGACCAGAAAAATGTTCCACTTATCTTGTGAAAATAAACATAAAGGTCTTATCATAAAACAAAGGTCTTATAAAAGATAGAGCCAAATTATGCATTTTCTTTCACAAAAAGTCAAGTGTCCCAAACCCACTGACTTGATGATAATGACATTCCAATAAGATTGACGCCAATAAAGTCATCCTGGGAGATACTTTTAAAACAAGAAAAAAATGTAACAACCTAAAAAACAAACAAACAAAAACCTTGTGCTAAGAAGAGAGAGAGCATTTGGAAAAAAAATAGTTTAGTAATGTTTCTATCAGTATATGATTTTGTCGCTGAAAATGATGTATGTTAATTATAAAAAATATTAACCGTATAACAGCTTTAAAATGCAATAGGACTGTTGAAAGAAGCCAACACCAGGACCAGGAGAATAGCAAATGGTTAGGTTTGAGATCTGAAATCAGACAGACTTGGTTTGACACTTGAATTCACCACTTACTAGCTGTGTAACTCTGCTCGGTTTACTGAACCTCTCCATGTCTCAATTTCCTCATCAATAAAGGGGAATAAAAAATTTTTTACAAGATTGTTATAGAATTAAAGCAGGTAAGTCGGCACAGTGCCTACACACATTAAGCTCCCACTAAAGGGTGGCTGTTACTACTACAAAATTAATGAAAAAAAAGAGACATAGAAATGTATAGTAAAATATGTCAAAAATGCCTTTACATTTGAGTGAAATTATCCTCAAAAGTTAATATCATATGAGCAAGATGAGAGTGGTAAATGTGATATGTGATATGAAAATGGCAATGAGAAGCATCTTGTTTTATGGACTGTTATTATAAGCTGGCATCACCGTAAACTAAAGTACAGACCTGGCAATGATGATAAATCTGAGACCAACATAACTAATACTATTTTCCTTTAATTTGAAGAAATAAGTTATATGTCTTTCATAAAATAAAAAATATATACATTCTTAGGAAATGTGTCACCTAGCTATCAGACAGGTATTATTAAATATTAGTAAAAAGTACCTTAGGGATCACCAGGGATACCAAAACTGCTCCCTGCTTGATTATCAATGCTGATTTTAAAAAATAGACCAAAGATCTTAAGAACCCAAAATTGTAGAAAACATTCAATATTAAAGCAGGAATAATTAATAGATCAAAATTAAAGTCAAGCCAATAATCTAAATTACAAACTTTATGGAAGTCTAGGCTCTCTAGATATCCATAACCAGTACTACTGCTAGTTAAAATGTGCTTGGTTTAGTTACTACTATGTATATCTAGGAATAAATCTGGTTTGAGGAAATAGACATTGATCATAATATAATCACAGAAATATGCTTTTGTTAATATTAATAGTATATTGTTATCTAAAGAATTCTAAGTTTAGGACTATTTCATACAATGGAACATAAATGTGAAAATAAACATAATTACATAAAATATAAAGTTTTTAAAATTATACATGTACTTCCTCAGGCAGTATGATGAATCAGATACACTAAATAACACTGCCAATGACATAACAAAAAGACTGGATTGAATATAAAAAGATCTCTTAAAATACATAACTGAAGAACTTCCAGAGATTAAAAAAGGAATGAAAGAGGGATTCTGTGAAATAAGTGAGCTTTAAAAATGGCTTTTGTTCTGAGGGTTTCTGCTAAACCCTAGAAAATTTAAAATTCCACTTTGATGGCTGCAGGAAGTATGTAGGAAATTAGCCTGGGGTTGTCCAGGATGGAGAGGAAAGGAAACGAGAATATGTCGCCCAAAATACCCAAAATTATTTGAGCTAAAGGCAATTAAGCAGCAAATGCAGGAAAAGCTCTGTCGATCCCTCTCTTTTCTGCCAATGGTGGGATATAAATCCTCCTTTTACTGGAGGCAAACTCTTTGCCCAGAGATGGCAACAGAGACATCGACAAAACTCACTCCCACAGTTTGCCCGCCTTGGAAGCCTGAAACTGCTTTCCTTTGTCCTGTTATTTATCTACAAAGTTATTGTTCTTTGTTGAAGATGCTTTTTAGGCCAAAATTCTAAGCCACCGCACTGAATTACTTTTCCTTGAGATTTCTCCTGCCTGATGTGCACTGCACATGTTAATAAGCTGTTTGTTTTTTTCTTGTTAATCTATCTTTTTGTTAAAGGGCCCAGCTGAAAACCTAAGATGGGTAGAGGTAAAATTTTGCCACCTCTACAAGAGTCTAAGAGGAGAACCCATACAAAGCTTGGATACTATGAAGCTACATACCTTCAGTGTCAAGGGAAACAAGAAACAAATTGACCACACAGAATGGGGACCAAGGAGATCTGCCTGTGTGAATTTTGGATTAATAGAGGAGGAAAAAATATTCCCTAAGAATTCATAATTATAAACCAGTACAAATTTTGCTACCTGTGTGGTCAAGAAATCCTCAATTAGAGAATTTAAATAAAAATTATCCCAGTTCTCCAGGAAACAGGCAAAATTAAATGCAGATCTTCTCTGAAGATTCTTAATATTCCTAAATTCAATCCAAGCCTCAAAGCCTTGCCACAGAAATAGATCCAATTAAACACATTAAAGTTCTTAAAAAAATTAAACACATAGGAAACAAGGCACCTCAAATGAAATCCAAAAGAAATAAGAGACAGTAGAATCAGATGCACACAAATTTCAGATATTAGATTAAATATAGAAAAAAAAAGTTTTAATGTATTAAAGTTTGAAAATATGAGTAAAGAACAAGAGACTTTAAAACAGATTTGAAAAAGAACTAGATATTTATGGAATGAAAAACATGATTGAATGTTTTGGAAAACTCAAACTCAATGGACAATACAAAAAGCAAACTAAACACAGCTGAAGAAAAAATTTAGCAACCTGGAAAGTATATCCTTTCTTAGTTTTTAATTGCCTGATCAATTACTGAGAGAAGTGCATTGACAGTCTCACTAGAAACAGAAAAAAATACTAATATACCATTTAAAGCTACCCTTTCCAAAGGGACAGGCCCCCTGCAGATGCACAGAATTCAATCAGTTATAATAAAAGCTAACATTTATTGAGTCCTCTGTGTCAAACAAGGGACTAGGTCTACTACAAATATGTCTCTTTTTATCCTCACAGTGACCTTATGGTGTGGGTACAAATAAGGAAAGACAAAAGTCTACACTGGGCTCAGTAAGTATCTAAGTGCCCTGTTCAAGGTCACAAAACCAGTGTGTGTAGAAACTAGCACGTGACCTCCAAGTTTGCCTGACTCCTAACCAACTTGATATACCTAATATAGGTCAACAGAAATATATCCTACTCTATATTCAATCCTTGACCTTGTGTAAACCATATACCCTTTCTCCTTGACCAAACTTTACTTAGGCTCCTCTGAGCCCTCTACTCAACTAGGCCTCAAACTTGCGCTTCTGTGTCCATCCTTGCCAAGTCCAGTTTTAGCAAGAATCCTGCTGTCAGTTTAGAGAGACTCACCCACCCTTGATATCTGATCAAGTTCCTCATGCCCCACCCTTGACATTTAAGCCCTTGGCCTGCCTGTCATAAGAATCCTGTTAGACCATTTTAGCAAGAATCTCTCTACCCTTGATGCCTCCTCTTAGTAATTTTCCATCCATTGACTCCTCACTTTGCTAGCTAGCTCTAAATTCCCAGCTGCCTTTGTTGTATTCAGGGTTGAGCCCAATCTCTCTCCCTATTGCAATATCCCTATTACAATAGTCTTGAGTAAAGTCTTATTTTAACAGGTGTCAAAATAATTTTGTCTTCAATACTGTATTACCGTTTTCTAATTTATAAAGTCAAAAGATTATTGTACAATTTAAAAAAAGGAAGTTGTCAAATAATGCAAATTATTTAATTAGCACATAACTAAAACAATCCTTAAGATCAACCAAGACTGTTCTTCAATAGAACTTTGTCACTTTCACAGTCCATTGTCCTGTTGTTATATGTTATTATGCAAGTCCAATACCAAATATTCTAAAATCCTTGTATTCCTTTTTAGGAGGAGGAACTGCAAATTCCATGCTGCTTCCTGAAAGAGTTTTGCCAGCATGCACACACAAACACATACACCCCGTGGGCCCAAACCATACAAACAACGTATGAAAGTAGTATTTATGACATACCTTAAAGTTCCAAAAGTTCTACATGCAAAGATGAGAAGAGCTAAAAATATTAAACTGTTTATTGAAAAGTGCCATACAGATTACTACTATGATTTCCTCCTTGGACAAAGAGATATAAAAGTAACAGACTGTGTTAGGGTTTACATAATGTCCTACGAATCAAAACAGCCAATCTTTGAGATGGATCCTAAAGCATATATGGGTGTATGTGCTCACAGACGTGTGTGTAAATCTTCTATATGTTTACCTACCAGTTTCTCCAGCTGTTTTATTCTTCCCATGAGGCTTATATAGAACGTATGAGCATCCTTTTACATGGAAATGGTCATTAATTTGTCTAAACCATCTGAAAAATAACAAGAAGATTTGCTCATAGCAACAGTTCCATAACAAAGAGGGCACTATTCCAGTTCCAGGGAAATTCAGACAGAGCCCAAGTTTGGCATATCTACTAGAGGTTGGGGCCCAGCGCTGGATACATGGTTTACTACCAACACATATCCACAGTATTAGTATTTTGCAGAACTAAAAATAAGGTATTGCCTCTAAGCAAGGGCTTCGTACCTCATAAGTGTTGTATTTCCAGTGAAAGGGCCAAACCTAATATCTTCAAACGGGGGTTGAAAGCCCAAAATATGTAAAGCTTCTTCTTGGGTAATAGGTGGAAGACTACAAAAGAAACATCGCCTTTCATTTTACAATTCCAATCATATGCAAATATAACCTGTCTGAATGTTCATATGTCTGACTGGCAAACAATTTTAGTAATATTTTTAATTTTTATTTTATCGAAAAATAATACATGTATATATTTTTAGCTAAAAGGCTTATAACAAAATACAGAAGCTTTTTCTCAATTTATGAAAAATCTATTCTTAAAAATCTTCCATTATAAGGGCCAGACCGGTGGCGTAGCGGTTAAGTATGCGCGCTCTGCTTCGGGGGCCCGGGGTTCGGACCCCGGGCGCACACCAATGCACCGCTTGTCAAGCCATGCTGTGGCTGCGTCCCATATAAAGTGGAGGAAGATGGGCATGGATGTTAGCCCAGGGCCAGTCTTCCTCAGAAAAAAAAAAAAAAAATCTTCCAAAGCAACACCAAATAACTTTTGAATTTGGGGTTTAGGAATACCAAGAAATTAACATACCTTCCAGCTCCCATTGTGCTATATAAGAAATTCCAACAAGAAATTAATGAGGAGATACCACAAGAAGTCTTATATTGTGGTCGGCTTATGCAGTACCTGAGAAAACAAAAGACTTTTCTTTGCTTAAATGAACACAAAATATGCAAAATAGAAATATAATACTCATGGTAACTAAAAGTGTTAACTTAATGAAACTTTGATCATTTAAGCCAATGTAAAATCTTTATTGACTTAAAATATTTTTATCATAAATATCATAAATGCGTAACAATAAATCATCCATTTTAATAAAGATGGCTAAGTATGACTAACTACTAGTTAAAGTGAATGTTATCCAAACCAATGGAAGTTGACCTTCACTTGAAGGAATGAAAAAAAATTGATAAATAAATTTAGATACCAACTACTAAAATTTCAATGTAAACTAGTTGCATTGCATATATGTTTATCTGTAACTTCAGTTGTAGGAGTTCTTTATGTATTCTGGATATTAACCCCTTATCAGATATATGATCTGCAAATATTTTCTCCCATTCCATAGGTTGCCTTTTCACTTTGTTGATTGTTTCCATTGATGCACAAAAGTTAAGTTTGGTATAGTCCCATTTGTCTATTTTTCCTTTTGTTACCTCTGTTTGTGGTATCATATTCCAGAAATCATTGCCAAATCCAATATCATGAAGAATTTCCCCTATGTTTTCTTCTAGGAGTTTTATAGTTTTAGGTCTTACGCTTATGTCTTTAATCCATTCTGAGTTGATTTTTGTGTACGGTGTAAAGTGAAGGTCAACTTTGTTCTTTAGCATGTGGATATCCACTTTTTCCCAGCACCATTTGCTGAAGAGACTGTCCTTTCCCCATTCTGTGATCTTGGCACCCTTGCTGAAGATTATTTGCCCATTTACATGAGGGTTTACATCTGGGCTTTCTATTCTGTTCCATTGGTCTATGTGTCTGTCTTTATGCCTATACCACACTATTTTGATTATTGCAGCTTCATAATATATTTTGAAATCAGGAAGAGTGTGGCCTGTATTCCACTTCTGCAATCACCACCTTCCCAGCAATTCACTAGAGGCAGTGTCATCAGCTGGAAGTTAGGGGTAAGATAATAAAGTGACAATCAGCACGATGTCTCCTTCTGCAAACCTCTCTTCATTCCTTGAGTGCTGAACTGGATCTCCATGAAGAACGCAGATACTTCTCCACTGATGTGACTGTTCACATCTAACCAAAGGGTCACTGAATGGTTTCAGGACCATCACGTGAACTTTAAGGAAACCTGCATCGTTTGAGGCCAGCAGTGGTCTGTGCAGCTCTTAGGGTCTTCTCTCTGCTGGTCCAGAGTACACAGGATTTGATAAGTGTGCTTCAGAGCCTGTGGTTTGGGGATGTTGCTATTTCTTTGTTTCAGGGAAGATGGAGTTTTTGCCTGTTTTTCATCTTGTTGTTGGTTATTGTTGTAATGGGTTTGAGGGAAGGAGGAGAGTAAAAAGACCTTACTCTGTCATATTTAAATCTCCCCCTTCCATCTCAAACACTTCACAAATCCTTGGGATCAACCCTAGGCACCCCTAAGATTTTTCATACTTCTTCATCAATCCAAACTTGTTTACTGATCTTGTTCATGACAGGCTTAAAACTTTTACTGATATTCTACTGTCTTCTGCGGGTCTTTCCATTCCAACCTTGATCTTGTAATATTCTCAGTGGGAAATAAGCTTGTCATTCTGGTGGTCTTTCCCCTCAGGGTATTTCTTCATCTATCCTTCCTCAGCCAAGCCTTTATGGCCTCACATGTTATACTATTAAAATATAATTTCTCATATTTCTTGTTAAAAAAAAAAAAAACCTTAAGTCTAAGATTTAAAAGCAAAAAATGGGCAAAGCCTTACTCCAAAGAAACTAAAATTAATGTTTTTGATTCTAGTTTCTCCAATATACCCTACATACTAACTACCAATTTATCTTTGTAAAAGACCCTTTTCTTAAGAAATCATCAGTGCCTCATCTCTACCCTGGAAAAGAAAAATCTAAGTCCTTAGCCTGATGTCCAGGAAATGGATCATGACATGTATTATAAAGAAAGAGCATGGACTTGGGAGTCTGGCTCTCTCCAGTATCAATACAAGATCTACTTATTTGCCATGTGATGTTGGGCAGGTTTCTTAGCTTCTCTGAGCCTCTCTCCAGACAAGCTGGTACTCTTCGTTACCAACATGCCAGACACTTCCTACCATCTTTTCAAAGACCTTTAGACCATCCCCTCAGATTTTCTCTCTTAAGACCCAGCTCCTCAGTGAAGCCTTTTGGTGATCATTACCTCCTCTCATGTTGGTTGTTTATTCATACACATCACCTGACAAATGGCCTGAGATACTTTATATTTTTATGCTTAGTCTTTTCTTCTCAGATTTTAAACCTTGTGAGAACGAAGACCATGTTTTGTGTATCTCAGTATTCTCAGAGTAACTGTCAGACAGTAAAGGGTCCAATATTTATTAAGTGATAAAAATCTAATATTTCTAAAACTTCACACAAAAGAATTTTAAAAACCAGAGATTAGTAATATTTAAAAGCATCATGAATTAAACCTTTTTTTCTTTAGAATAGGAACTGTATTTTAAGGTAACCAAATAGCCCCAGTTAGTAAGTGAAAGCTCTCCTTATTAGAAGAATGCCAGCTAATAAAGGCAGAAGAAATGCTAGAATTTTGAAATATCACCATTTCACAGCAAGGATTCAGGCAGAGATTGTCAATGGGTTTAGCTAAAACCACTACATGAAAAGTCAATGGGAACCTGGATATTAGCCTGATGCCACTGTCACCCTACAGATTACTTGATGGCTGTAGAGGGGGAAAAAAATGACAATGTAGGCTAAGGCTGTCACCACCCTAATCCAGTAATCACGTTTAGAATCTCTAATACTGGATGACTAGACACTATTTACCTCCTGACATGATGCAGTATGGAGGACACAGCATCACTTGGGCAGTATTCTTGTCCAAAATGTGACTCTAATCAAATCTTTATATCCAACTTCCAGTTTACAGGAAATACTGAGGTTATATGAGTAATTTAGACAACTAATAGGAAAAAAATCAGATCCAGAAGGTAAGACATTCCACAAGATATCTGGCCAAGTCTTTCAATAAGTCAATATCCTAGAATTTGGGGGAAAAAAAGGGAAGAGTAGGGTGGAGACTATTCTAGATTAAGAGAGATTTATGGGCTACAACAAGCAAATACAATGTGTGGTTCATGGTGGGTCCCACTTCGAACAACCAAGTGTGAAGATATTTCCAGAAAACTCTGGGAAATCTGAATTTAGCCTGAGAATTAGATTCTAAGGAAACAGTATTAACTTTATTAGGCATGACAATGGTATTGTGGCTAAGTAAAAAAAAGGTCAATTTTTAGAGATTACCATCGTCTGAGGTCTAATACTTTCCGCTGTTTAATATCTTCAAGAGAAGAATACTGAGGCCACTCCCTTTGATGTCTTCCTTTTTTATCTGAAGTTTTTTTCTTGCAAATTTGTTTCTTTACATTGCCTAGAATATAAGAGTATAAAATAGCAAAATGCCTAAGATGAAGTAAACTGCCATGCAATACAATTATGTAACAAAATTAAACAGTAATTGCCACTAGTTCTAAAAATGATATTTGCAAACATATTGAAGAAGTAAATGTATCTTCAAGAATACTCCTCTATCTTAAAGAGAGAGAGAGAGAGAATAAAAATTTAAACAACCATGAATGTTATGTCCTATCAGGTTCTTATATTCCAGTTCCTGAGCTAGTCACTTAGCTAGTAAAAGAATCAATCACAAAAATCTTTAGCCACACCTAGAAAATAAAATTACCAACAGTAAAATATTTAACTAGACCACTTTCCAGAAAATGAATCCTTTCTATAAAACAATAAAACCACACTAATGTAATTCTGTTAAGAAAGTAAAGGCAGTAGATCCAATAATACGATGATGTGATGTTTAAAAATATCCCTAGGCCTACAGAGACCACAAAATGGATTAAGAATGATGCACACATTTACACTATTAAAATGCAATTTTAGCACCAGGGACTGGAATGGAAAACAAAGTCTCCTTTCTGTGTGTGTGTATGTATGTACGTATATACACATACACCCACAACAAACACACACATTCTCCCAAAGACCCATAAGACAAATAACAATGGTTACCTGTGGGGGGACAACAAAAGAGAGACAAAAGTGAGAGTGAGACTTTACACTGTTTAGTTTTTACACTTTTTATTTCTGAACCATGCTAATGGATTACCCAGTCAAAAAAATTACATCAATTAAAATATTAATAACATCCAAGCTTCATTTCACTGAAATACTATTAACATTTCAGAGTTATGCTCAAATACTTTTGTATCTTTCACACATATTATATTTTAAATGTAATAATAAAATCTGTAAATAAAAGCTAATATTTCATTTTTATGAGTTATTCATAAGTTATAAAACATAGATTATATAGATATATGCCAAGAAAACAAACACGGAAAGGGATCCATTTTATTCATTCAGGATGCTTGTTAATGAAACCATTTGGCACCCACAACCAGCTGGAACTCAGAAACCATTGTTACACAGGGAATTTCTCTAATTTTTGTAAAATGTCATAATCATGAACACTATAGTATCCAGAAACAAGTTTTTTTCCCCTTCCTTCTAGTTATTCTTCCTAAGTCTTCACAGAGAACACAAAATTTCTCACAGAGCTGAACAACCACTGGCAAATATGAGCGAAATCTCATTCCAAGAAATTTCTTTTACTAATAAAATAAATCTCAGAGAGTGAGGAGATGGAAAAATTACTTTCCAACATGTCTTGAGATGTCTTCACTGCCCAATAATGACTTGATTCCCTATGTAGTCTTCTCAGCCACTTAAAATTTTAGAGGCTAATGAAGCATGGTAATCTGTGACCTCAGTGGCCCTCAGAGTGGTGTGTACCCTCATACTTTCCTCTGTGGTATACAAGAGCCTGCCCTCTGTTCTCTTCTAGCTTACTACCCTGAGCCCCTAGGATAAATAAGCATCTATGTTCCAAATAAGCATCCTTTATAACATCCCCACACTGCCACGCAGAGAGCTGGTCCCACAGGCAAACTTGCACTCAATATGAGAAGGAAGCTCTTTGGAAGTGGAAGCGGAGTTTGAGAGGGAACAGAAGAGAGCCTGCCTGAACACTGCTATCTCCCCATCACGTCAACACCAGGAACCTTTGCCCCCTGCCCCGTGTCACTGCTATACTCCTTTCATTCGTCACCCTACCCACAACACACGCATACAGCCCCAACACCAAAATTACATATATAGATATACACACACTTCTATTTACCACACTGGCTTTCAGAGAGAGGTATGCGGATAGCAAATAAAAGTACAAAATCCACCATCTTTTTGACCTAAAGAACCACAGGACAGAGTTCAGGACAATCACTGTCACTGAAAAGTGAGGTGCGGGGGAGCCCAGAAAGACAAGAGCCAGAGAATTTGGGAGGCCCAAATTCTGTGTACAAATTTGGAGGAAATCTTGAGCTGACTCCTGGACCGTGCATGCACAGAGCAGACCCCAAACAGCACAGCTCAGGCTAAAAGAATTGAACTGAGATTGAGATATCCTCAAGAGGCAGAATGTGCGATTTTAGTCCAACCAAATTAATTGCTGCTAAAATTAAAACAAAACACTCTTTAGAGGAATATACTAGACTCCAAAATCACCATAACATAATATTTCCAATATCTAAGATACAATCCAAAAGTATTGAACATGTGAGGAAACTGAAAAATGTGACACATTCTCAAGAAAAAAGATAAGACCAACTCGGAGATGACCCAGATCTTAAAATTGGGAGATAAGGATTTTAAACTGAGTATTATAACTATGCTTTATAAGATAGATAATGAATGAAAAAGTAGCAAATCGAAGATAAAAAACAGAAACTATTTTAAAAATGTAAATTCTAGAACTAAAATAAATAACATCTGAAATAAACAATTCATTGAACAGACTAACAACTGTCTTTAAGAGATGCACTTTAAATATAAAAAACACAGGTTGAAAATAAATTGATGGAAAAAAGATAGACCCTACAAACACTGGTCAGAAGAAAGCTGGAGTACCTATATTAACATCAAACTCAAAGTAAGCAGGTGGAGGGATATAATAAAGAGCAGAAATCAATGAAATAGAAAACAAACAATTGATATAACTAACAAAGCTAAAATCTGGTTATTTGAAAAGTTGAACAACACTGATAAATTCCTTGCTAGATTAAAAAAAGAAAAAAGAAAAAAGAACCTACATTACCGGCATCAGGAACGAAAGAGTTATCACTAAAAACCCCATAGGCATTAGAGGGTACAAGGGACTTAGAAACAACTTCATGCCAACAAACTTGACAGCTTAGATGAAATGGACAAACTAAAATTTTACAGAATTAATGGGAATTGAGATAGCACCATAATCATAGAGATTTTTTAATACCCCTCTGAAAACCCCTCAGAAAACACGAGGAGAAAACACTTCCCAACTTCCCTTAGGAGACCTGCATAGCCCTAATTCCAACACCTGAAAAAGACATTACAAAAAACTTTATAGACCAATCACATAAATATACACACAGAATGAAAATTCCCCTGACACTCCTGAAAATTGCAAATTTACATAACGTTCTGTGAAACAAGTTGATTTTGCAAATGGACAAGAGTATGGAGATTTTACAAAATGATCAAAGAAGCCTCGAAGTAAAATACAAAGCCTAGTTCTACGTCTTACTAGCTGTGCAGCTCTGCATAAGCAATTTATCCCCTGCAAGCCTCCATTTTTTTTTTTTGCTGAGGAAGATTGGCCCTGGGCTAACATCCATGCCCATCTTTCTCCACTTTATATGTGGGACGCCTGCCACAGCATGGTTCGATAGGCAGTGTGTACGTCTGCATCCGGGATCCAAACCTGCCAAGCCGAGGCCAACAAAGCGGAGCGCGAGAACTTAACCACTACGCCACCAGTGCGGCCCCAAGCTTCAATTTTTTTAATCTATAAAATGGGGATAAGAGTACCTACCACATAAAATTCCTGTATTACTGTGAGTTCAAAACAAAGAAGTGAAAAGCATTAGTATCTGCCACAGGACCACCACATTGCAATTGTGAAGGCTGTGCACCATAGGTGAACAACACCGTCTTAAGTTGTGCAGTACACAACCTACTCAGTGGTATCTGGAGGCCCTGCTCAGTGCTCAAGACATTTTAACAAGAACAAAAAACCCACCATGTTATACAGTGGAAAAGAAAACTAGAGGTTTAATCAGGAAATATGAATTCATGTTCCTGCCAAACTACGAAATAGTTGTTATTCTAGCCATGTCATTAACCTTTTCTAAGCTACCATGTACTTATCTGTAATACTAGTATTTTACAGCATTCTTAGATTTGTCAAAACTCTCAAAATGCAAAGGTTATGTCTGAAATTTCCAGTGGCAACCCATTAATGAACTAAACGTCCTTTGTCCAAGGTTATTTTTTTAACCACAATGACAGACAACATTGTTCAGTATTATAAAAGGAAAATGTGTTTAATGGCAAATTTAAACAAGATATATCGTTTGTTTTCTTATTATTTTCACATGTAAAATAGTATTTCATGCCTCCCTCCTTACCTGATTTGTGTTTCATATTTGTGGTCACGCCATCAAATTCAGATTTATCAATTTCCCATGCAAGAGGTAGCTTGCCTAGGCTATTGGATAAGTTTTCCAGGCTATTTTCTTCATTGTAGATGATGTCTGATGTACTGGTTGGGATGCCAGAGTATACTGATGAACTGTTTCCAGCAGATAAAGAGGTACCATCAGGGAGGCAGGAAGAATGGGTTGGATTTGGAGTTTTATAGATTGAGGTTGCCTGGTTGAGAAAGGCATAGTCTGAACAAATGGCATAAATTTTCTCCCGAGTATGGGTCACTGGACAGCTCCACGGGTAATGACCATCTCCTTTGGGACCCAAGGGTGCTCCCGAAGCCCGAGTGCAGAAAGACTGTACAGCACTTTGTAGATTCTCTTCAGGAGACTTTCTCTCAGATCTGTGCTCACCATTTCCAGAATCACTTGCCCTTTCTGCTTCTGCAATGTTAGGCATTGAATGCAACTCTAAAAGTTCTGTTAGGAGGAAGAAGTTGCAACTCTGTTTCTTGAAAAACAACTGTGACAAGTGTTTACAGCATTCTACAAAAACTTGAGGGCTGCAAAATGGCCTCCTAAGAAAAGAGGAAGAAAGATCAACAATCCACCAGACACTACAAACAGCCCTAGAAAATATATTGTTTCATATGCCTTCATTCAATAAATATTTATTTTACCACTACTATATGCCTAGAGTCATGATCACTAACCATAGGTCTCGTTAAAAAAAATTATTTTAAAATAATGCCTTAGGGCCGGCCCCATGGCTTAGCAGTTGTGTGTGTGCGCTCCGCTGCTGGCAGCCCGGATTCGGATCCCGGGTGCACACCAACGCACTGCTTGTCCGGCCATGCTGAGGCCGCGTCCCACATACAGCAACTAGAAGGATGTGCAACTATGACATACAACTATCTATTGGGGCTTTGGGGGGAAAAAAATAAAATAAATTAAAATAATGCCTTAGAATAATAAAAAAGACAAATAATTTAAAAAATGGGCAAAGTAATTGAATCACGACTTCTCCAAAGATGATGTAGAAATGGCCAATAAGCACATGAAAAGATACTCAGCATCATTAGTCATCATAGAAATGCAAATCCAAACCACAATAAAATACTACCTCACACCCACTAGGATGGCTATAATCAAAAAGACAGATAATAATAACGATCATCAAGGATGTGGAGAAATTGGGGCCAGCCCGCTGGCTTAGCGCTTAAGTGCGCGCGCTCCGCTACTGGCGGCCCAGGTTCGGATCCGGGAACGCACCGATGCACCGCTTCTCCGGCCATGCTGAGGCCGCGTCCCACATACAGCAACTAGAAGGATGTGCAACTATGACATACAACTATCTACTGGGGCTTTGGGGGAAAAAAGAGAAAGGAGGAGGATTGGCAATAGATGTTAGCTCAGAGCTGGTCTTCCTCAGCAAAAAGAGGAGGATTAGCATGGATGTTAGCTCAGGGCTGATCTTCCTCATAAATAAATAAATAAATAAGGATGTGGAGAAATTGGATCCCTCATACACTGCTCGTGGAAATGCGAAATGGTCCAGGCACTTCAGAGAACAGTTCCTCAAATGTTTAAACATAGAGTTACCATATGATCCAGCAATTTCACTCCTAGGTATATACCTAAGAGAAATGAAGACAAATGTCCACACAAATGTTCACAGCAGCATTATTCATAATAGCCAAAAGTGTAAACAATCCAAATATCCATCAATTGGTGAATGCATAAATAAAATGTAGTATATCCATACTATGGAATATTATTGGGCAATGAAAATAAATGATGTACTAACCCATGCTACAACAAATAAACCTTGAAAACATTGTAGTAAGTGAAAGAAGCCAGTCACAAAGGACCAGACAGTGTATGATTCCATTTATATGAAATGTCCAAAATAGGCAAATTCATAGAGACAGAAAGTAGATTAGTGGTTACCTAGGGCCAGGGGATAGGAGGGGGTTGGGGCTGATGGAGTTTCTTTTTGAAGTAATGAAAATATTCTATAATTGATTGTGGTGATGAATGCACAACTTTGTGAATATACTAAAAGCCATTGAATTGTACATTTCAAATGGGTGAATTGTATGGTGTGTGAATTATATCTCAATAAAACTGCCGAGAAAAACATGCATTTGCAAGGTTATTTAAAAAGCATATAGGCATAAAGGGTACATGATGAATAATTATCACATTTAAATCCACAAAAAATACAGAATTTAAGTTTTTAAAATATTGTCACCTGACAAAAAGCAGTATCCAATCCAGGTAGTCACTAACTTCTGATCAGTCCCAGGAAAAACTGAATTTCGAGCCTAAACCGATTCCTTTGGAGAAGAAAACAGAAAAGTTTAAATAGCAATGGAGGACATTCAAGGAAGCTGAAAACCTTGTGAATCAAACCATTACAGGGGTGTAGGAGGCAACCTGGGGCAGGTGGCAGGGCAGAGCATGCTCAATCACAGGGTTCAGCGAGGGAGCAGCACTCAAGAGCTTCAACCCACCCTGGGTGACCAGTTTGACTTTTACCAGTTAATATCTCTGTCCATTTGCTTACTTAAAAAATTGGAAATGAGAATAAATTTCACAGGTTACAGGGAAATGCTGAAATAAAATCCATCATACAAATACCGAATGACCAACACCTGTGACTACGGTGATAAGCAATAACAGATAATGATTCACACAAGAGCCATTACCCTAAGGTGGTAAGGAGAAACTAGTGAAGGTACTGCAAGTCCTTCGTGTAATTTAAGGAAACAGAGCTCCATACAAGGAGGACTCCACATATGCTAGAAAAGATTCCTTTTTCTTTTTAAAGGAATGCTTTCTCTGTACTCGAACCTTCAGGTAGTGATTTTTTAGTAATTTGTGCAGAGTTACAGTTATTTGTAGGAGGGTCAGTTAGGCAGGAGTTCACCACCAAAGATGGAACTTCTAATGGTTTCACTTTGGAAACTTGCCTTCTCTTTTTGGTCAAGAAATCCTAGGAGTAAGTGTAGTGGCTCTCTAGACAGGAAGCTTTAATGCTTTCTCCTTTCTTATCTCCTGTTGTGATCTTGACAGTGGAGGAAGATGCAAAGAGAAGCTCACTACCTGAGGTTGTACAGACCAAACTCTGGGCTTTTCTAAGGAGTTGGTTTCTCTGATTCTTAGCAGATGTCCTAGCGGAGCATCTTCTACGTCTTCTCTGTTATCCTCGTGCCTTTCTCTAAAAACCAGTGTGGTGAATAGAGTGGGTATGGATGTGTGGCGTTGGGGTTGTGTGGGTGGGTGTGGTAGAGTAACCAGTGAAAGAGAGCGTATGGTCATGGCAAGGAGCAATGAGCAGAGGGTACCGAGGTCAGTCTGATGGGGGGGATAGGAATGTTCCAAGTGCTGCCCTTCTTATCTCTTCGTCTCCAGCTTAGCTTCCACTCTGCCAGAGCTTCCTTCCTCAGGTTGAATGGAATTTTGCCTGTGGGACCAGCTCTCTGTGTGGCAGTGTGGGGATGTTATGAAGGACACTCATTTGGAACATGTATAGGAGAATATTCTTAACAAAAACATAGGCAAAGGACATGAAAAGATGTTCAACATCACTAATCATCAGGGAAATGCAAATCAAAACAACACTAAGATATCACCTCACGCCCATTAGAATGACTATAATCACCAAGACAAAAAACAACAAATGTTGGAGAGGATGTAGAGAAACAGGAACCCTCATACACAGCTGGTGGGAATGCAAACTGGTGCAGCCTCTGTGGAAAACGGTATGGAGATTCTCAAAGAATTAAAAATAGAGATGCCCTATGATCCAGCCATCCCACTACTGGGAATCGATCCAACGAACCTGAAATCAACAATCCAAAGAGGCTTATGCACCCCTATGTTCATTGCAGCATTATTCACTATAGCCAAGAAGTGGAAGCAACCTAAGTGTCCCTCAACTGATGATTGGATCAAGAAAATGTGGTATATATATATACAATGGAATACTACTCAGCCATAAAAAAAGACAAAATCGTCCCATTTGCAACAACATGGATGGGCCTGGAGGGTATTATGTTAAGTGAAGTAAGCCAGAAAGAGAAAGACAAACACTGTATGATCTCACTCATATGTGGAATATGAACCAACACATGGACAGAGAAAACTATATTGTGGTTACCAGGGGCAATGGGGGTGGGGGGTGGGCACAAGGGGTGAAGGGAGACATATATACGGTGATGGACAAACAAAAATGTACAACCCAAAATTTCACAATGTTAAAATACTATTAAAACATCAATAAAAAATAAATAAATAAAAAGAACAACAACAACAAAAAAACATAGGCAAAGGGAAATTGTTGCATTTGCACACAAAAGGGAGGCCTGAGCTTCCTGGAAGCTAAAAACAAGAAAGAATATACCACTTGATTAATAAAAAGCTTAACAGTCTGGTTTTGATTATTTGTGTTTTGGGTTTGTTTGCTTTTAAATAGTAGTCACTGAACAAGAATGATCTCTTTGCTTGCACTTTTACCAAAAAAACAAAGCGAAGATCATCAACATAAGAGCATATTTTAACTGATTGTCAATAAAAGCCAAGAGTAACTTAGAGTGGTATGAAAACTTTCTCGGTTGAATCATTTTTTATAGACATTTCTCTTTGAAAAATTGTTTATAGATTTTATTACATAAGTAAACAAATTAGAGAAATATTGCAAAATACCAAAAGATATTACACAGAACATGAAAATTATCCAAATCCCATGACCCAAATACTGTTGGTGTTTATTTTCTTTCCTATTATCTGTCTGATCCTATTTTCTGTCAGTGAGAGCTTCTTGAGGTCAAAGGCACTTGTGTTATTGTGTCCTCAGGGTTTCTTACAAGTGATCTAAGCACAAGTTATTACTAATAACAGAATCATTATAGACGTCAATTATTGTATTATGTTGTAATTATAGCCTCAGGAAATACTAAGGTTACAGAGGGGCAGTTTGTCCCTCTACTAAATAGCCTGCAGCTGGCACAGTTTTGTCACAGCTTATATCTCCTTTTGTCCCTATTTTTATAACCCATTTCCATGCCTAGCTCCCCCCTCCACCCCCATGGAATTGCCATTTCTAATCTGACCTGTGCATAGATACTAGAAAATAAAGCTTGTGCATATGATCATACAACTCCCTTGCCTAAAACCCTTTGCTCTTAGAACAAAAAGCCAACTTCTGATCCAGCCCCATGATATCTCTCTTAGCTCCACGGCATCCCCTCTCCCCACTTCTTCTCTATGCCCTCTCCACACTCCCTCCAATGACCACTTCTCCATTCTCTGAATGCTGTCTCCACCCACTCACCCTCCTTTAGTTAGTTAATTCCCACTTCTCCTTCAGATGTCAGCTCAAATGGCACTTTCTGGGGAGTGCTTTCTTCGCTCCTCAAACTGGGCCAGGTCATCCTGTAAATACTCGGATACCTTTCCTTCACAGGTCTTACCAGGGTGCAATTTTACATTTGTATGTGTATATGTATGTGTGTGTGCGTGTGTGCGTGTGTGTGTGTGTGTGAATGTCTGCCTCCTGCAAGTGTGGTTTTCTTGACTATTGTATTGCCAGTGACCAGCATCTGTAGAAGTTTCATCAAGAAATAGCTATTTTTAAGTGCCTACGTCATGCCAGGCATTCCTGTTAAGTCCTGGATTAAGAGCCTACATTCCAGGAGGGCTTACCAAGAGTGGCTTATGAATCAAGAGCCGGAGTTTTAGCCAAAGGGCCTTTTTTTCTCCTCTCTGGTTCTCACCTGTGAGAATTGAGGTTCCCTAATCCAGCAAAGTGAGGCGGCTATACTAAGATTTACTAAGAAGAAGGATTGCAGGACCTAAGGCTCAAGTTAATGATTTATTCATAAAATCATGTCACAAGCAACAGAAGTATTGATTGTGTGCAAACAAATTTTTATAAAATGCCCAGCTTTAAATGCACCACTAGGGTAACGATTTTTAAAAGTTGCTGGAACGAACTGTTCTGTAAAATAAAAGTTCTATTTGTAAGGCCAATATTCATCGCCTAGGTTACATTCTTTTCCGGTCATATTTTCAATCCGTATTTTTAAGTATCAAGTTTACTTAAAGATTAAAACATCTTAAAAAGTCACTTCAGTAAAGGCCTCCACATATGACAACTATTATGATCTGTATTCTGTACAGAGGACCACAGAGACGCAGGGGCAGGTAAGTGACTTACTAAGGGTGGAATATGCGCCCGAGGGCCAGACCACAAGCGCTAAGCCCCAGCGAGTCTGGTCTCCGTCCTTCCCTTCCCTAGACCCCTCCCCACGCCCTCCAGGCCCCTTCCTCGGTCAGGCCTCCCCGGGCAGAGGCGGCCGGCCTACGAAGGATACCGGGGGTCCTCCCGCGCACGGGCCAGCGTCGAGCCCAAGCTCCGGGGGAGGCGAACGGAGGTCCCACCGCCCTCCTCTGTGAAGCTCGCTGCGCCGCCGGGCTCGGAAGCCGCCGAGACGGAGGCGACAGTGGCGCAGGCCGGTCCCCGCCGCACCGAGCCGTTGTGTGCGGAGGCGCCGCCAGCTGAGAGGAAAGAGCGCGGCTGCGCCCCCTGCCCGCGCCCCTCCGGCGGCCACCCCGGCCCGCGCGCCGCCCCCACCCCCGGGGGCCGGCGTCCCCCGGCGTCCCCCTCCGTCCCCGCAGCTGCCGAGAAGCCACCGAGGCCTCCTGGCCCCTCCTCCCGCCCTCCCTTGCCGGCCGGAAGCCGGAGTTCTCGGCGAGGGGGAGCGGACAGAGGCCGGCGGAGTGACCGCCTCCAGCCCGCCCGGGGAGCCGGGGAAGAGCTGGGTGCCCACGGCGCCTGGGGGAGTGGGACGCGGGCACTTACTGCCCACGGGCGAGGAGGGAGCCCCCGATTCGAGTTTTTGAATGCAGGAGTTGATATCGTTACTAATGACAATTGCAAAAAAAGAAAACCCCCGCCTTGGCCCGGAGCAGGCCTGCTTTGGCTGGCGGAGTCACCGGCCTGTCTTGTTTTCCCAGGCAGCTGGCAAGGTCGAGGGGGTGGGGGGAGGGAGAGGAGGAGGCTCTGGATTCGATTCCGGAGCTGACCGTGACACCTCCTGGTGACTGGTGACTTGGCCCCGGGGCAGGCGAGCAGGGGCGAGGGGACGGCCAACGCGTGGAGACAGGCGCCGCGCAGGAGCCGGCAGTATCCGCGTGGGCACCTCCAAATCAGGCTTTGTTCCCGAGAGGACTCGTCCCTTCTCTCCCTACCGCTTCCCTCCACCCTGCGGCTCAGCTCTTCACCCATCTTCTTCCCGGGAGGACTGGCACCGACACAGTGGCCTCCACTGGGACGGCCACAGGGCTTGGGAAAGAACATGGATCCTGGCAGCCCAGGCGGCAGTGACGGCGCCTAGAGCAGGCAGATGGCAGCAGGCCCGGCCCGAGGCGCCCGGGATGCCCGGCAGAGGGCCAGGCGCGCAGGGCGCACAGCGCGGGCCGCCACCTCCGCCCCTGCCCACAGCCCCCAGTACCTCTGGTCTGGCCGGTGGGGTCGGGTCGCTGCGGCCGTGGCGGAGCCCGGCACCGGACCCGGATCACAGCTTCTAGCGCGCGGCCCGCGACGCGCCTCCAGTTACCCTGGGGCTGGCGTCTCTCGTCCCATTGGAGCGCGCGGGGACAGCGTCCTGGACGGCTGTGCCCGGCGACCAGTCGTCAGATATCATTGACAACACCTTCCTTTCATCGTGTTTTATACCTGCCCTCTGCACGTGCGGAGGATATGGTGACAATTAAAAAAAAATCTTCTCTGTGCCTCCAGATCTGGTGCCCCTCTGTTGGACATCTAGTATTTTTCCATTTTCTGAAAGAGGTAATCGCAAAGTAAGTAAATGAGTGAGAGATGGTAAAACCTGGCAGGATTTCCGCTAGTCCTGTCGCGAACTACACGTCCCAGGAAGCCCTGGTGCCCGGACGCGAGTCCACTCAGCCATCCACTTGGAGAAGGCCTTACTCAGCACGGCCCGGCGCGCGGGCCAATCCCCTCGCCCTGCACCTTGGGCTGGAACCTGAGACGGATTCGCACCCAATGATGCTCCAGTTACAAGAGCAACGCAAGGTTATCATTGTCCGGAGAAAGAGGAGCGGCTTGGTTCTCACCGGTGTCAGCAGAACTGCTGGCATCCTTCCGCTGGACAAGCCGGCGCTCGGGTTGTGATTTTCCTGGGGAAAGCGGAGACCCGCGCGCCTGCCCGGCACAGCCAACGACACCTCTTGGAGCCGCGTTTGCTGCTGCAATTTGCCACCGTGCCCTGCCCAAACCGCGGCTGGTCCCGTCCACCTCTTACCGTTTATTTATCCGTGGATCATTTCGAGAGTCCGTCTTGTAAATGTTTAGCATTTTGCTGCTTTACTGTTTCTTTCTGGGGACAGTTCCAGCACTTGCCGAGACCGGCGGAGAGAGGCGGCTGAGCCCAGAGAAGAGCGAAATATGGGGACCCGGGCTAAAAGCAGCCGTCGTCCTTCCCGCGCGCTATTTCTATATTCAGGCGGTGGATACATCGGGAAATAAGTAAGTCGAGAAACGGCTCCCTGACTATTCTGGACTGCAGTTAAATCTTACTGTTTCTCCCTTCAAGTTTTATCCGCCCAAGAACTCATTTCTTGCAGCAGTTTAAATTCCAAGATATTTGGGTGCTATCCACATCTGGTTCTAACAGTCTTTCCACGTCCCAATTTTTCTCTGTAGCTTTAGGAATAATTCCGAATTAGCTCTTCTCCTAGCTGTTTTGATAGGAATTCCCGTACGACTAGGGAGGCAAAGCCCCTGCGCTTGGCTGGAAGTACTGTTTCTAACTACTTTAGCATAAGCTGTTATAAGGAATTTAAACCCAGTTGTTAGAAACTTGACTGGTTTCATCTTTCTCTGGTGCTGCCCTCTGTTTTCAGGTAGAGTTCTGCAGGTAAGCATGTTTTGAAACTCAAAAAGAAACATGAAGCAACTGTTTGAAACTTCAGAGTTTAGAGGGAAAGTATCAAAGTATGAATCTCTCATGTATTTGTAATAAACTTTTATTTCATTCCATTGAATTCAACAATTAAAATTATGCTTAAAACTTATTTTTAGAATTCACATACTTCTGAAATGATTGTCTTTTTTATTGGTGGATGCTGACTGTGTATATTTTGTGGGGGAAAAAAACATCTTGGGAATAAGAAACTTGCCAAAGCAAAAAAAAGGAAGCTTGTAAATTTTGTCACTTGGCTATAAATAGTACAATTAGGGAAACTAAATACCATCATAACAATCTTAATAGCAGGAGCACTCACTCAAAAGAAACTTTTATACAATGTCACTTAGATGATACACCACCTATGGGCTTTTGTCCCTGGCTGGGCATGATTTATAGTACTGATTTTTTAAAGAATCATTGAGAGAGATTTTTCAAAAGATCATTATCTTTAGAGGCACCATTTGATCACAAATTTCCAGATGTGATGGGCATGAAATAAATAGTAGGTTGATAAGAATATTTTTATATATGGAATGCATATGTAGGGTCTATGTTTACACAGATTAGTAGTCTTAACATATTCTCTTGCAATTTTCTAATGAAACTTTTATGTTATCTTGGCCATTGTCATCCTCCTCTTCTTTTGTTTAATCTCTGGTCCATCATATTCATTCTAGTACTAAAAGCATAAGAGAGAAGAAGCAAGCATATATTAGGGGGAGAATGTGGAGGAGAATAGTAAGGTTCACAGACTGAAGAGCATAATCCTTGTGCATTTGTTCCTTTAAAAAGTCTGTATATTTTATTGTTCTTCCTATCACAGGTTCACATCTTCTCCGGGTGAAAAGGTGTTCCAGATTAAAATCTCAGCCCCAGATGAACAGTTCACTAGAGTTGGAGTGCAGGTTTTAGACCGAAAGGATGGGTCCTTAATAGTAAGATACAGAATGTATGCAAGCTACAAAAGTCTGAAAGTAGAAGTTAAATTCCAAGGTCAACATGTAGCCAAATCTCCATATATTTTAAAAGGTAATTTGGAACATAATTTTAAAAAAACAGTATTTGAGTACAATAATGTATGTCATTCGATCAACAAAAACAAGTTAGCATGATATTTTTTTCCCTGAAAGAAAAAAACAGACATTTCCTGCTTGAAAGCTAAATTGCGAGTCCTGGTAAGAGAGAAATGCAAGATTTGAATGAAAATTATAATTTGCTAAAGAGGAAAGAACATGTTCATAGAGAATTTGCTCCCTGAAGACACAACATTAGCAAGAATAATCAAGCCATATATATGTGGTCGTAGATGACACTTTCTTAATTGGAGATGTGTGACTTAAGTAACTGATAAGTGTTACTGAACTTTGGTCATCACTTCAGGAGGGGAGAGGGCTTGAACAAGAGGAAGGGATGTTGACTGTTGTTTTTTGTCTCCATTCCAATACTATTTTTGTAGAGAAATTCTCTCATATTTTATCATATAGGATGAGAGTACAGCTTTGTTACCTGGAGCCATATCCTTCCCTCAGAGGAGACAGTCCCATGAAACAGTGGGGAAGCAGTGTATAACAGAGACAGCGATCTTCCTTGTTTCCCCACTATCCGAAAGGCAAACGTTTTCAAAAATGTCTAGGTTTCTTTCCCACATCCACCAGGACCACATGGTACGATATAACCTGCTAAACCTTAAAAAGACGTTCTAGGGGCTGGCCCGGTGGCGCAAGCGGTTAAGTGCACCCTCCACTGCCGCGGCCCGGGCTTCAACGGTTCGGATCCCGGGCGCACACCAACGCACCGCTTGGTAAGCCATGCTGTGGCGGCGTCCCATGTAAAGTGGAGGAAGATGGGCACGGGTATTACCCAGGGCCAGTCTTCCTCAGCAAAAAAAAAGGTGTTCTACTGTCCACGACTGCCTGGGTCAGCTGGGAATCTGAGAATTATAGAAAGGAATGACAGTGAAATCTCAATGCAGGTTCTGGTATGTTATGTTAGTATTATTTCTACAAACTTGTAATTAATTCATTGCAATATTAATGAAATGGACTGTTTTGAGGATTACCTTTACTTCTTTATAATACTTAAAAAAAAGTACCAGGCAGAGTAGGGGTTCTTTGTTTACTTGTGTTGCTATTGAGAAAAGTACCTTGGACACTTTAAGAACCTGTTTGTATGACAGACCATTGAAGTATTAATTTCATATCACTTCTGTCTTTCATTAAAATGGGTATACTTCTCTGATATCCTTTTACCAATGTTGGCTTATTCTTAAGTACACAAAACCTAAAGAATAATGGACTATAATAGCCACTGTAGAGCAAAAAATAGTACCCGTTGGTGTTCTTTTGAACTCACGCAAAGCGGGCCTGACTGAAAATATCACAGTGAAGAGCTGTCGGAACTGAATTACTAGCGATGCCCTAGCATAATAAAAATGTTTTTCTTTTAAAATACTTTTTCCATCAAAGTCGTCTTCTATCTAACTAGGCAAAATTTGTGAGGCCATATTATGAGTATTTGTTACATGTTTCAAATGCTGAGTGAAATTATTACTGTGATATTTTGTTACCTGTGTATAACTAGGGCCGGTTTACCATGAGAATTGTGACTGTCCTGTGGAAGACAGTGCAGCCTGGCTACAGGAGATGAACTGCCCAGAAACCATTACTCAGATTCAGAGAGATCTGGCACATTTCCCTACTGTTGATCCAGAAAAGATTGCAGCAGAAATCCCAAAAAGATTTGGACAAAGGCAGAGCTTGTGTCACTATACCCTGAAGGATAACAAGGTACGATTCTCATTGAGGTTTGCCTGTTTGTCATTGAGTCTTTTTGTTTTGACCATTCAGCTACAAGTAGCTACACAGTTTTATTAAAAATCATCCTGAGGATCACTGTGATAAGCTTTACCTGGGCCGGCCCCGTGGCTTAGCGGTTAAGTGCGGGCGCTCCGCTGCTGGCGGCGGGTTCGGATCTGGGCATGCACGGACGCACTGCTTCTCCGGCCATGCTGAGGCCGCGTCCCACATACAGCAACTAGAAGGATGTGCAACTATGACATACAACTATCTACTGGGGCTTTGGGGGAAAAAAATAAATAAATAAAAAATTATAAGCTTTACCTCAGTGAAGCCTGCCAGTACTTTTAGACTAACATAATACATGTTCAATTCTCTTTTAGGTTTATATCAAGACTCATGGTGAACATGTAGGTTTTAGAATTTTCATGGATGCCATTCTACTTTCTCTGACTCGAAAAGTAAGTGTTTCATTTCTCTTAGATGTAATAGACAATTTAAGCCCAGGTTTTACCATATTATTTTTCAAAATAAAAATAATAGTCAGGGGTATTCTAGTCTGGCACCTTATTATAATACTATTTGGAAGTTTTATGTCATGTAGGATACCTGTATTAATTTCCAAGGGCTGCTGTAACAAAGTACCACAAACTGGGTGGCTTAAAACAGCAGAAATTTATTCTGTCACAGTTCTGGAGGCTAGAAGTCCAAAATCAAGGTATCAGCAGGACCATGCTCCCTCTGAAACCTGCAAGGGAGAATCCTTCTTCGGCTCTTCCTGGCTTTTGGTGACGGCTGGCAATCCTTGGCATCCCGTGGTTTGCAGCTGCATCACTCCAGTCTCTCTGTGTTGTCACATGACATGCTCCCTGTGTGTTGCCGTGTCTTCACCTCTTCTCACAAGGTCATCAGTCATATTGGATTAAGGGCCCAAGATACTCCAGTATGACCTCATCTTGACTAATTACATCTGCAATGACCCTATTTCCAAAAAAGGTCATTCTGAGATACTGGGGTTTAAGACTTCAGCATATCTTTTTGGAGGACAGAATTCAACCCAGAGCAATACCTTATAGAGAAAAATGCCTTATAATAAAATTATTTTGGTACTAAACCTACTTTGAGCCCAAAGAAGACTTGCCGTATGCTGAATCCTGTTTCTTGGTAAAATGTGCTTTAGCAGGGTTCTAGTGGAATACTTTGGTAGTGAT